TTTAAGATCTATATATAGTTTTAACTCTAAAAGTCAAGTTCATGAACTAACTCATGTTTTTTTTTATATTCACTTATATAACGTAAATCAAGTCTGATAATTAAACTCATTTGATAAATGATACATAGTTGAATTAACGATTTTTGTACAGAATCTTCATAAAATCTGTATATGTTGATGAAAAAAAAAAAAAAATGTACATAAAAATAATGCTCTTGTTCATGAAAAACCGAATGGAGTTGAATTAGGGCATGAATTCATGACTTATCTCGACACCTTTTAGATGTAAACATGATTTTGTTTTTAGAATAAATTTATGAAATAAAAGGAGAGGATCAATAAAAAGTACAAAAACATCAAATTATGTTATAAAGAAAATGGTACTGTATATGTCAGGTTGGGGTCCGCATAAGCATGGCAAGTCTCATGAAGTAGCGCCACGTACGTGTTTTGTTGAATTTAAATGAAACGAAACCGTACCTGCGAAGCGCCCTCCCTCACCTAATGCGTTGTCTCCTCTCCATTGTTTCTATTGTCGGTCACAACTTTCAGTTAGAATCCCATGATTTTCTTAACTTTTTTGATAATTTTGGGATTAACTACCTATTTCCCTATTATAACTATCATATAATAAAAATTTCGTATAAATTTTGGATTTCATCCTAATTACACACAATTAAACTATATCAATATATTTCTCCCTAACATGAAAGATCAAAATCTGTTTTTCTCTAAAGTTTAAAAGACAAACTAATACTAACAAATGACAGTTTCAAATAGGTTTAGTATTTTTTATTTTAAAACTAAACCAATGGATAACCTAATTAAACCTAATATGATCTGACCAATGGTTTAAATCGAAATTCTACATTCATTACTTATTTTTTCTGAAATTTTCTTTTTGTTTTATTCTATGAATTTTTGGATTTTAAAATTCCAAAAAAAGTTATTTAATTGAAGAAAATTAATAGAAGTTCGAGTAAAGTTATAATCGCTTCATCTGGGTTAGGTTATACCAGTATCATCCGAAGCCATTGGATTTAATATCAGTTAGCGTTATAAACCTAAACACAAACTCAATCTTTGTCTGTGTAGAAGCGAGTTTTGATCTTTCGTTTAGGGGAAAAATAAATTGATATAATTTAGTTCTATGCAATTGGGACAAAATTCAAATTTCGTGTTAATTTATTACTATACGATAGTTATGATGTGAAAATATGTGGCTTATCCATCATTTTGGTTTAAAGGTTCAGTAGTTACATTTCAAACTATAACCAATAGGTCTCTTTTTTTTTTGATCGAAAACCAATAGGTCTCTATAGTTACTTTATAGGCTATCGTTATTTATAGACTATGATCATGCATGCATCTTTTGAGAGAAGGTTATACTGTGTGCCGCTAAGTAGATCTATTTTGACTCAGACATGTGTTGCTTAGTGGTGATAATTGATGTTTACCCACCTGCTCTAACATGCTCAAATCACATTCAAATTGTCTAGTATGGCTTTATTAGTACCTTCTTTATCGCACTAACTTTATTCATATATATATTATACTATGCATTAGTGGTGGCTATACACTTATAATCACCATTCATCAGTCCTGCTCCTAGATATCAAATTATCTTTTGTCAAAAAAAACATATTAAATTATCACACACGTGAATTGTTTGCTAGCTTTACGTGATGAACATTCGAAAGAACTATTAAACTGATCTAGTTACTAGTACATCAAAAGAAATTATCTGTTTTGTTCTATAACTATTACAAAAAAAAAAAGCAGAGTGTTTAATATGAAGGTAAGGGTTGCAAATGCAAGCAATATAAATACGTGCGTTAAGTGTTTAACTTCGTTATATTTGACAAAACTCGCAAATGCGATTGATGATTACGAACTCTATAACTATTACAAAAAAGAGCAGAGTGTTTAATATGAAGGTAAGGCTTGCAAATGCAAACAATATAAATACGTGCGTTAAGTGTTTAACTTGGTTATATTTGACAAAACTTGCAAAAGCGATTGACGATTCCGAGCACGTTGACAATCTTATATCATTCTTACACCATACATTCCCCCCTTCTTTCTATATTCTGTTTTGGAAAATTTTCATTTAAATCACAAATTTTCAAATTTGATTAAAATAAATGACAAATTTTCTAATACAAACAAACATTCAAGTTTTATTGATAAGTCATTTTAATCACAAACTTTCGTCAACCATACAAATATAATCATATCGTTAGTCAACAATTATAGTTGACTATCGGTAGGTCTTTTAAAATTGATGTTTTTTTTTTGCATCAATATAAATCAACATTTTTTAAAAGAAATATTGGATTTTAAATATTCAAACTTTTAATAACAATAAAACTAATAAATAAAACTGTAAATTAAAAATAAATTCCAACCAAAAATATAAAAAAAAACTCAATTTAAAATAATTAATTAGCATGTTCTTAATTCAATATTTTAGTTAAAAATGATTATGAGAATTTTTTTAATTATTTACGATTAATTCTTAAAAAAATACTTATATAATCCTACTCGGATTATATTTTATAATTTTACTGTCAAAAATTCGTTAGTGAAATATTACTTCAATTCATGATTTTATAAACAAAAAGAGTAAACGGATAACGAACAGAGTTATCGATTTTGGTGAAACTTATTTTTCTTTAAATGCAGAAAAATTCTTGTAAAAAGTTTATAGAAATTATATAGATGTGTTTGAAGATCTTTGTTATATATATAAAAAATCACGAAAAATTCATTAACCGATAACTCTTTTCATTAGAGAATCAAGCGTTGAATTAATAGTTCATCAACAAATTTTTGAAAATAAAATTATAAAACATAATTCAAATAACACTATATATATTTGCAAAAAATAATCATAAATAATTAAAATATTCTTATCATTATATAACTAAGATACTCAATTAGTGATATGTTAATTAATTATTTTACATTGAGTTCTATTTATATTTTTGATTAGAATTTTTTATTTATAATTTTATTTATTAGTGCTTCAGTTATAAAAATATTTTTAAATATTTTAAATATATCCAATATTGTAGAAAAATATTGATTTATATTTGTGCCAAAAAAACCATCAACTTTGAAAACCATTTTAGGCCTACCGTTAGTCAACTATAACTGCTGACTAACGATATGACCAAATTGATATGGTCAACGAAAGTTTGTGATTAAAATGGTTTACCAAAAAAAAATTGGGTATTTTGTTGGCTTACGAGAAAATTGGTGTTTTATTCCAACCAAATTTGAAAATTGGTGATTTAAATGATAATTTTTCCATTCTGTTTTGTTATTCAATTTTTTCTATATGTTCATGTTTCATTATCTTAATTAGTTAAGTTACAAAATATTTTTTTTATCTTAATTACTTTTCAGGTGGCTTGAGATACGATATGGCACTTTATCCCCTTTACATTCCAACAAAATGCAAATTTAATATTTTATTTTTATTAATTTGTAGCTATTTTCTGCAAAAAATGAATCTATACTACTAAAATAGGATCCTATTTTGAAAATTTCGAATTCTGCCATTGCTTTTTAATTTAAATACAATGACATATCATTCATTTACTTCTATATAATAAATTAAATTATCATTGCCTAAAACATTCTAACTTAATAAAGGAATGTTTCTAAATAAAATTTAACCGAATTATTCATTAGTCATAAAATATCTCAGCAACAGATTTGTTAAATAATTAAATAAATGAGTAAAATTTCACACAAGAAATTAAGATATCATGTCTACATATAAAAAATAATACATAGTTATCAATAGAAAAAAAATGGATTCTATATTCATTTACTTAAGCAAAACATTTGTTATTGGTGTATAATCATTAACATCATAAAGTTAAATTTATATCTACGCAAATCATAGTCACTATATCTTATTACAATATACTTTTTAAATTTTGAAACAAATATTTTAACAGAATAAGTTTTCATTCTTTATGTCTAATAATTAGATATAGTTACACTATATGTACATAGATGTTATATTATTTTTATTTTTATTATATTTTATTTTATTTTACTCAATTAGCTGAATCATTTGAAACTGAAGAAATATCTATTACTTTGAATACTTATATTCATTCAGATTATATTTTTATTGTTATAAATAAAATAATGAAAATAGCCTCATGCATATTAATTTTAAGACTACATAACAATATTTAAAAAAAAATTGTTTTGCTATATTCTTTTTTATAAAATTAAGAAAATATATGATTTTAAAAATTATAAGACGCACTGAACCAATCTTCATCATAATTTTCAATCTAAATTTTTTTTTTTTAAAGTTGATTGAGACAAGAGTGTAAAAACCATGAATTATTTTATTTGAATTTAAATTATAAAAATAAAATCAGTGTAAATTATTTTAAATAAATAAACTACATTATAATATTTGTATGAATAATTTCAAAATTTTCTAAATTTTTGTTCACTTAAGAAAATAAAGACAATAAATTGTACATATACTTTTATAATTTAAAACTTAAATAAATAAATTATAATTTTTGTTATATAAAATATTAAATTAAAATTTAATGCCACACTTAAAAGTGCAGATCAAAATTTAGTTTATTTTTTTATAACTACATCTGGTCGGTCATATGAGTTTCAATCGTTTAATTTTAATTCGAAATGTAATAAGGTATAACTGTTTTTGAATCAAAGCAGAAGAAAGTTAGATTAAAAAAGTTTTTAAACATAATTTTCAAAGAGATCAAAAGAAAATTTGAGCATAATGACTGGTTTAATATGAAGGCATAGATTTGACTTGCAACTTTATATTTGGTTAATACCAGACACTTATAATACTTTATGGTTTATAGATCTATCATTAGTCAGTGGACTACGCACGGTTTGAAAACATACTTGAACTATTAAAGATGTAGTGGAATGTCTTGCTCAAAGTTCATCATTACGTAATAGTCCAACTTTAAGTTTTCCAATCTACCAAGAACTCATAAACATTTGCTCTTTTAGATGTTAACACGTTGTCTCGTTTGCCCGCCCTTGACTACTTTATATCTTAAAGAAACCACAACAACACAATCCTTTCTTAGAACGTTACAATTTCAAGACCTTACAACACTTGTGTTCTATTTTTCAGAAACTCTTTACAAGAACTCAATAGATTCCCTAAAACCGAATCTGAAGACTCACTTCTCAAACCCACACGTCTGTTCACGTCGTCCATTAACCTCAAAACCGAATCTTTCTCAAACCGGTACAAGACCTTGGACCATGCGTCCGTTGAAAATGCACGTAGCTCGGTCTCCTCGATGTTGCCATTAAGAACAGCGAGGGACGATATGGCCGTTACATGATCACCTTTCTCGAGCTTCCTGCAGAATCTTTCTTTGACTAGAGGCGAAGGCGGAGTCCTATTACTCCGTCTCAGATGTTCCCATGTCGTTTCCATCACTTCTTCCTGATCACAACACACAACCAAGACAAATTGTTTAGAGACAAGATGATAACATAAAATTTCAACTGAAGTGCTTTTTTAATCCATTATTTACCTGTCCTGCTCTGCTAGCTTCAAGAACCATTTTGAGATGGCGTTTGGCATTGAAATGGTATCCGTGACGCAACATCTCCCTATACGCATAACCAAAATCATCCCACTTTTTATGTTCAGCGCAAGTTTCTAGCATTGTGTTGAATGTGTACGTGTCTGGCAATACTCTTGATTCAAAATCCGACCCGCTTTCTATATGATTTCCATCTTCCAACATCTTCTTGAAAAGTTCTCCGCCTTCTTCAAACATCCCATCTTGTAGATAGGCTTTAAGCATTATGTTGCAAGTCACTAGGTTCGGGTTGCACACCTCCTTCATTTGATCAAAGATGTAAGCTGCGTTCTTGACGTTTCCCGAGTCGAGGCATGCTTGTATAAGGCCAGTGTAAGTCACCACAAGAGGCTTATTCGCAACTCTACATATCTTCTTAATCTGTCATTGGATGGGTATATAATCAAGGTCAGATTCTCGATAAGCTCAAGGTCTACTGGGTTTACAGAATTTACCATATTAAGCCCTTCACTACACCTTCCTGCGCTACACAGACAGCGAGCAAGGTCGTAGTAAAGAGCAGCCGATCCAACAATACCACGGCTTTCCATATCCTCGACCGTTTCTATGGCCTCATCGGTTTTGCCTTCTTTCCACAGAGTATTAACAAGAACTGATCACAGGATGAGATGGTTGGTTACTCTTCAAATGAGAATTCAAAAACTAATAACGTAAAGAAGGAAAAAGACAAAGATCTCACAAAACACCTCTATATGCTAGAGCATTTGGGATAGATGATTTCTGCATCTTCCTGAAGAATTCATGAACTAAGTTGTATTTCTCACATGCAAGCATCACCTGATTAGACAGAAATACAAATTCATTACTGAATTATGTTGTTATGGAACGTTAACTGTCATGAGAAGAATGACTATTTAACCTCCATGACAAGGCCATAGGTGACAGGAGAAGGTTTTTGCCCTCTTTGCTTCAACTGTTGCAAAACCCAGAATGCTCCTTCCCATTGCTTCCGTTGAACACATGCGTTGAGTACCTGCGTGGGGAATTGATGTCCAGCACTCACATTATATAAATGTAGGCTATAGATATCTTCAATAAGAACGAGACAATCATAAATCACTGACCGCATTGTACACAACAACGTCAGGTTCAAGCCGGGGATCCCATTTTGCAAGTGTCGTTGGCTTGAACTTCTTTCTCGGTGGAGATCGCATTGTGTCAATCACATGAAAGAGTTCCTTTATATGACCAGCTTGTCCAAGTGTGACTGCAATTGAACGGTATGCTACCATATCCGGATATGATGATATTTGTATCTGGTGAAGAAAACACAGCGAAAAGCTCAGATTATACCAGAAGCAACAAGAACACAGACAGGCACGGTATCAGGGTTTACCAGCATCGCATGGAATACGTTGAGAGCTTCCACAGGCCTTCTTGACTTACCAAGCACATTTAGTGCAGTTGTGTAGATGATTCTGGATCCCAAAAGGGAAAATTTGTCAGCACTACCCTTGAAATTTTGAGCAATCACTACCCTTGAAGAAGACTACAGTTCTACAACTTAAAAAAAAAAAAAAAAAGACAGTTCACTTTTGGAGTAGTCAGTAAAATAGTACCTTAGCTTGTTTGATTTGAAACGGTCTTGCCTTTGAAGCCACTCGATGACTTGAAGAACTCGTCTCCAGTTTCCAAGTTTCCCTAGAAAGTGAATCAGTCTCATTATAGTGTAATCCGTATATCTGATCTTTGCACTCCGGATGGCCTTGGAAAACAGCCACTCAGGCATGTTGATGTCTGCACCATTCAACCTAGAGAAATAAACTTCCTTAACATAAAATTCAGCACTGAGTTTGATAATAGTTTCATGAGAAATGAGCTAATCTCTCACTCCCTAATCTCATCTGCAATAATACACAACTAAACCAAAATCCAACATCTAACTCTTAGTTTCTTTCTTCCAAGTAAACCAAGGAACTCGAACCAAAACAAGATAATAGCTTAAAAACACATACACTTTTGCAAGCTTCTCGATTCTGTCTTCCATTTCGAGACGTGAAGTAGCAGGCTTGTCCACGATGTCACTGGACTCATCAGAAAACCTAAAGGCAGGACTTTCCATGCCAAACAAGCTATCATCATCATCTTTCTTAGCACCCACTTTCCTGGAATCATGCCTCTCGTTGGCTAGTCTCTCAATTCTCCTTTCCTCAGCAAGAAGATCCAATCCATCTCCTTTGGAGCCTCCTCTCTCATTTGCTCTTGATGTAGCATTGTCACGCTGATACCTCATCATCTCCTGCTTCGGACTCTGTCTCCTGAAACTCTCATCTTCTGGAACAATCACTGAAGATTCACTACCCTTACTCCAATTCACATCTTTGGAAGTTCTCTCAAACCGCCTTTCTCCAAGGGAAAAACCAGCTTTGGAACCTCTCCCAACCCCTCTAGACGCATCAGGGGAACGCTGGTAACTAACAACCTCCGGCTTCACGTACTTTCTCCTGAAGCTCTCATCTTCTGGCGCAGTTAGTGAATAAGATTCACTACTCTTACTCCATTTAACATCTTTGGATATTCTCTGAAACCGCCTTTCTCCAACAGAATCAGCTTTGGAACCTCTCTCAGTCCCTCTAGATGCATCAGGGGAACGCTGATACTTAACAATCTCCTGCTTCACGTACTTCCTTCTCCCGAAGCTCTCATCTTGTGGGGCCTTCACTGAAGAAGATTCACCACTCTTACCCCATTTCACATTTCTCTGAATCCCACTTTCCTCATCCCTCCTGAAACCTCTCTCATCATCACGACCTTTCTCACCCCTAACCATCTCCTGCCCCCTCCTGAAACCTCTCTCATCATCACGACCTTTCTCACCCCTAACCATCTCCTGCCCCCTCCTGAAACCTTCATCTTTTCTCTTCACATCATCATCAGCTTTATCTATAACCAAGCCTCCGTCCACTTTCTTCGTCTTCTTCCGAGCTGTTTTAACTGATTCCATGATTTGAAGATACTGATCGAAACTCGGTTTGAACTCACCTGAAGTTTGCAAACCTATCTCCTTCGTGCTCGAATTCAGACACAAGATTACATTTTTCAGAGGGACCAGTCGCCGGCCGTTAAACCAGGATTGAAGAAACAGAGGTCTACGGCGAGAATTCAACCTCTCATCGAAGAAAGAGGCGTTGACGAAGCAATTCGTCGATATCATCATCACTGCCATTTCACTCTCCAACTCCAAAGTTGAAATTTATCTATCAGAGGTAATAACTCCTTGTTGAACCCTTATCGGTTATCGTCACCCTCCGACGTGGCTGGGTAAACTAAACTACATGACGTTTCCTTGTAATCAAATCTCACGCGATGTTGTTTTTTGTTTTTTGATGTAACGAGACGGGATGTTGTCTTTTGATGTGTGACGGATCGTATATAAAGCCCAACTATTATTGGGCCTAAAGGTCTGTGATCTAAACCCATTATTAAACCTAAACCGGTCCGCATCAATCGCTAGAAATTCCAGATCGTTCAAGTTAGCGGGCTTTTTTGGTCCGAGCTATGAATGCCAGCAAAAGTGTGGGTGTCAAGAGCTTGTCTATTGTTTTGTTAAATGAGGAAACAATTTTGAGTTAGACTGTGGATCGAATAAGATTTTACACCATAAAAGAAGATATTTTTATTGTTAGAACCAACGCAGACATGGTGTTGATTACAGAATCCATTATCTCTTTGCTAAAAAGAGGGCACTCAACGGGTGAAATACAATGATGTTAAAGTAGTGTAATGGAGTCATGACTCGTGTTAATTAAAAGGTTAAAAAAAAGTATAATACATTGGACCTACTTCTTTTGATGCGGCTAATAATCATTTATTTTATCTCATGTGCTTCTACAACAGTAAACCATTATCTTCTTGTCTCGTGATAGTAGATTACTAAAAAGAAAAAAGTTAAATCTTGGTTTCTTTGTTCATATGCTGGTGAACGATATGAGTATATTGAGTCTGGACTGGACCGGTCTGGATAAATCCGTTATAGCTTGATCGGTTTTGTTGTAGTTGTTGAAAATGGTCAAAAAATGAGTCACGGATGCTATTAGGGGACCGGTTAAGAAGAAAAGCGACTTCTCATAGAATCTTACCGTTGGACAATAGACAAAACGTCACCTAAAAGGCTAAAAGATAAAAGAACAAACAACTAAAAAAAAATTAAAGTGGAAAAAGACTTCTTGTATATGGAACACTTTCACTTCTTGTCTCTTTTTTCACCTACTTATGTGTATATGAAGTTATAGTATTATATTTTGATACAAACTACTTAGCTAAAGATGAATATTGAATGGGTCAAAAATGTAATAAAAGACAACAAAATTGATCATTTTTAAACTAAGTATTTAGTAAAGGCTACAAAGATGCATTAGAAAACATAAAACACACTTGGAAACAAAAGGAAACTACAAGTGAGAACATGTTAAAAGTCTTTCCACCGATGCTTTGCATTAATAAAACGTTCAGACACCGAGAAGCTTTTTTTTTCTCTTCTTTCTTCAGGCAAAAGTACTACTCTCAGACCATTGTACCAAAACCCTCTTCTCTCTCATCTCTCTTTCTCCTTCTCTGCTTCTGCGATACACTACTCTACTTCCCATGGAGCTTTAAAGAGTATCTGCAATTTCCTTAATTTTTCCCTTTTCTTCTGAGAATTTTCACTCAAGAATCATGGAGGAGTCTTCTTCTCTAGTTCGTTTCTTATTTGTGCTCTGTTTGTTTTCGTCCTCTGTGCTGTGTTTAGATGATTCCAACCAAAACGCTGCTGCTTCTTCTTCTTCTGCTGTTTACATTGTTACTCTCAAGGACCCTCCATCTGTTCATTCCTTCTCTAGTGTCTCCAAGCACAGCCTTACATCTACTTCATCTCAAACTTACCGAATATGGTATGTACAAAAAGTTACCTCCTCCTTTAGTGTTACTTCATGTTGCATTCATTCTCTAGGTTCTGATTTTCTCGCAGTATTTTCTTTCTCTCGGCATTTCTGGAATCTATGTTGTTTTTTTTCTGGAAGGGTTTGGTCTTTTCTCAATCCGTCAGATGTTAAATTGGTCAATTTTGGGTCCCAGAATAATTGTCGCTTGTGTTCTTTGGTATTTTCCTGAAAGTCCAAGCTGAAACCTGTACATTTTAAAACGAAGCTATAGCTTAATGAATTTTGAGATTAAAGCTGATACCTTTATACTTTGATTACAATCTTAATCTCTTTTTTTCTTTTATACCTATAGGAATCGAAGCGCTTCAATAACAAGAGTTCATGACTCGTTGTTGAGAAAAGTACTGAGGAAGGAGAATTACATTAAACTATACAGCTACCACTATCTCATCAATGGCTTTTCTGCGGTTATCACCCAAGAACAGGTACTCTCATATCTCTGAATGTCTAATTGTTAGTGTTTGTTCCGTGTTTTAACTTTAAGATCATACTGGTTTTTGTTTTTGTAAGGCTGTTAGACTAGCTGCAAGAGAGGAAGTGGACAATGTGGTTCTTGATTTTCCGGTTAAGAAAGCAACCACTCACACGCCGCAGTTCTTAGGTTTGCCACGTGGAGCTTGGCTCCATGAAGGAGGATCTGAATATGCAGGAGAAGGAGTTGTTATAGGGTTTATTGACACTGGAATTGATCCCACCCATCCTAGTTTCAGTGACAAAGTCCCAGGACATTCATATCCGGTCCCTCCCCGGTTTACTGGTGTCTGTGAAGTTACCACTGGCTTCCCTGCCGGTTCTTGCAACAGGAAGCTCGTTGGAGCACGCCATTTCGCTGAGTCGGCTCTCAGTAGAGGAGTCTTGAACTCATCTCAGGACGATGCTTCACCGTTTGATGGTGAAGGGCATGGCACGTAAGTGTAGAAGCCACTCTACTGTATGTTGCTTCAAACTAATATGGTTAATGATAGTATTGGTTGGTTTATGCAGTCACACAGCTTCTGTTGCAGCTGGGAATCATGGGGTCCCGGTGGTGGTTTGTGGTCATCACCTTGGGAATGCTAGTGGGATGGCTCCTCGTGCTCAGTAAGTCATAAATACCACAAAATGATATTTTCTCTTTGAAAAACAGTTCATAATGTCACATGTCTTTTTCTGTTAGTGTTGCTATTTACAAGGCATTGTATAAGAGGTTTGGAGGTTTTGCAGCAGACATCATTGCAGCCATAGATCAGGTAAAAGGAAACTGTTATCTGTATAGCTGAAACTTTGATGAACTGATTTGTTAGTTGACATAGTTATGTGTGTTTTCTTATTCTTCTTTAGGCTGCTCAAGATGGAGTTGACATAATAAATTTATCAATCACACCGAATAGACGTCCACCTGGTATCGCCACCTTCTTCAACCCTATCGATATGGCATTGCTTTCAGCTGTGAAAGCTGGGATCTTTGTAGTGCAAGCAGCTGGAAACACAGGTCCAGCTCCTATGAGCATGTCTTCTTTCAGTCCATGGATCTTCACAGTTGGAGCTACATCTCATGATAGAGTTTATACTAACTCAATCATCCTCGGAAATAATGTCACTATCTCTGGAGTTGGACTCGCCTGTAAGTCTCTTCTTTTTTTGGGTTATAGCTTAGCTTCTTTCTTGACCTGACCTGACTGGTTTCTCGTTTCTTATATTAGCTGGTACAAGGACAATGCATAAACTTGTTTTAGCTGCACATGCGCTTCGCAATGGTACAACCATTATGGATGCTATATATATTGGGGAGTGCCAAGATTCAAGTAGCTACGATCAGAAGCTGGTACACGGGAAGATCCTTGTCTGCAGTTATACAGTCCGGTTCATTCTCGGTGTCTCAACAATTAAACAAGCCTTAATCACAGCAAAGAACTTAACAGCGGCAGGTCTTGTCTTCTATATGGATCCTTCTGCCACTGGTTTTCAGATGACTTCAACTCCTATGGATATTCCAGGGATTCTAATCTCCTCCCCTCAAGATTCTCTGGTATAAATCACAATCTTGAATGTAAACTAGTCTATTATCCAGTGAACTAGTATGTAACTTAATGTTATATGTGCAGGCTTTACTTCAGTACTATAATACTTCTCTGTCCAGGGACAATGCTTCAGGCAAAATAGTTGGTTCTGCTTCAGTTGCGAGAATAGTTGGTGGCATGAAGCCTACCTATGGAATTACAGCGCCAAAGGTTATGTATTTTTCTGCTAGAGGACCTGACCCAGAAGATGATTCTTTTCAAGATGCTGATGTAATGAAACCTAACTTAGTAGCTCCAGGGAACTCTATATGGGGTGCTTGGAGTCCTCTTGGCATCGGTACATCTGATTTTCAAGGTACATTCTCCTTATAAGATCTACTCATTTTATGTTTCTGTCTTTTTTTTTTTGAGTTTCTTAAAACTGGTGTGGTGTTGTTTAGGTGAGCGTTTCGCGATGGAGTCAGGGACAAGCATGTCTGCTCCACACGTAACGGGAGTAGCAGCACTCATCAAGCAGAAGTTCCCTCATTTCACACCTGCAGCCATTGGATCAGCCCTCTCTACAACAGCTTCTTTAAAAGACAGAAAAGGTAACCCTATAATGGCGCAACACACTGTCTTAAACCCTGACGCTACTCAAACCCCTGCAACGCCTTTCGATATGGGTAGTGGATCCGTTAATGCTACTGCAGCTCTTGACCCCGGTTTGATTTTCGACATAGGTATACGCACTTTCTTGAACCTCCCACATCCAAAACGTCCCATCTTTTTTTTTTTTTTTTTTTTTAAACATGAAGTTCTTCTGAAAATGTAGGTTACAATGAGTACATGAAGTTCCTCTGTGGCATCAACGGATCATCTCCTGTTGTTCTCAACTACACAGGCGAAAGCTGCTCTGCGTATAACTCCTCCCTTGCAGCCTCTGACCTGAACCTACCCTCAGTGACAATAGCTAAGCTTGTTGGTACTAGAACTGTGCTAAGATGGGTCACTAATATTGCATCCACGGTTGCAAACGAGACATATACAGTAGGGTGGATGGCACCTGACTCGGTTTCTGTTAAGGTGTCACCTGCAAAGTTTACAATAGGAAAGGGTCAGACAAGGGTGTTGAGTCTTGTCTTTCAGGCGATGAAGAATGGTTCGGTGGCGAGTTTTGGGAGAATTGGGATGGTTGGAGACAGAGGTCACGTGGTTAACATTCCGGTGACAGTCATCTACAAGATTGCTGTTTGAGAGAGATATAGGTAGACTGTCACCGGAATGTTAGATATATGCAGAGAGAGTTTTGTGTGATGATGAAGCAAACTTGAGGAAGTTGTTAAAAAAGCTTTAGTGATTGTTTAGTTTGTTTTGTTTATGCCCCCTGCTGATTAAAAGACTGTGTGTAGTTTGTAAATGTGTATTTGGAGTGTTATTTTGTGATGATTTTGATTGAATCTAATCCAATCATTTAATTTTTTGAGTAATTTTAAAAAGTAGTCTTTCTGTTTGAGCTTTGAGGAACAAACAATAGTAAAGCACTCAAACACAAAAGAATGATTATGATGATGAGGATTCACTAAGTCCTCCTGAATCAGGGCGGAGGGAATGCAATTTTCCAAATCAGAGTTGTTAATATAATATTTCTGGAATGCGGAATAAAGTTTTGATCATCAGGTTTTTTGATTTAACCGGGTTCAAATTCCATGTACAAAGCTGAAATGCGTTACAGTTTGGTTTACTTTTGGGCAGAAATGATTAAATATACAAATTAATGTGGGTTAAAACTGTAGTATACCGTAATGATTCGACCTAAACCGGGAAATATCCTACTTTAACCTCAGAAGCATCGGCGTTTAGCTTCGTTAATCAGCCAAAAAAAACCTAAGAGAATCTCTCAACTTGGCGTCACTTGCAAGGTCGACACTAACAAGAGAGAAACAAACATGCCGCCGAAAGCTAAAGCTAAAGACGCAGGTCCAGTGGAGAGGCCTATTCTTGGCCGTTTCTCTTCTCACCTCAAGATCGGAATCGTAATCCTTCTCTCTCTTTTATACTATTTTCAGAATAATAGAATCTTAGATATGCTCATCGCAATGTTTTCATGGTTAAAGTGTCTTTTGTTAATTATGAGTTTTTTCTTTTTTTCCTGGGAAAAGGAGCATTTGTGATTTGTTGAAGATATGATTCGGTTTTACTGTACTCTATAGGTTAAGTTTGATAGTAGAGAATCATGGTTGCATGTACTCTTTTATACTATTTTGATTTGGATTTGTTTTGTATCATACATCTCAGGTTGGGTTGCCAAATGTGGGAAAGTCAACACTGTTCAACACTCTAACAAAGCTTTCAATCCCAGCTGAGAACTTCCCCTTTTGTACCATTGAGCCTAACGAGGCACGTGTCAACATCCCCGACGAGAGGTTTGACTGGCTTTGCCAACTCTACAAGCCTAAGTGTGAGGTCTGTTTACCCTAAACCCTGTGATCTTGATTCTTCAAAAATCTTTATGCTTAATTATTTCTTTATTTTGTCTCTCAGATTCCTGCCTTCTTGGAAATTCATGACATTGCTGGTCTTGTTAGAGGCGCTCATGAAGGCCAGGGTCTTGGAAACAACTTCTTGTCCCATATTCGTGCTGTTGATGGAATCTTCCATGTTCTGCGTATGTTTGTTTGTTTCTCCTTGTGCCACCTTTAGTTTTCTTTCATTTGTGATTGAAATGACGATTTCATTTACAATTTGACCTTTCAACAAGCTACTAGATTAACGCTATTGTGTTTTTTTCTTGTTTTCTATCATTTTAATGGAATTGCACTAGCTAGTTTATGTACTTCTCATGTTCTCTCGATTCCATCTTCTGTAGCTCTGTGTATCTGAACCTGAACTACTCAGATATTTTGTTTATAGTTTTTTGATTATAAATATATATCTTGTCGGTTCTATTCTGGTTAGTAAATTTTCGACGGAACATGTGCAGGTGCTTTTGAAGATTCTGATATCATACATGTTGATGATATTGTCGATCCTGTTAGAGATTTGGAGACCATTACTGAAGAATTGCGCCTAAAGGTATAAAAAAAATCTATTACAGATCTTTGGACTCTTCAATATTTATGTCAGTTAGATCTTGTTGTTCATTTCATCTAATATTGTTGTTTGGGTAACATACTGAACTAACTTGGTGCAACTTTAGGATATTGAATTCATTAAAAACAAGATTGAAGATGTCGAGAAAAGCATGAAGAGGAGCAATGACAAGGCGCTAAAAGTTGAACTTGACCTCTTGCTCAAGGTATGATTAAGTGTCAAACATGCAGCCTTTATCTGTCAATGTTTTTGGTCATTAATTATTAATTGTCAGAAAATATTATTGTACACTCTTGGAAACAGGTAAAAGCTTGGCTGGAAGAGGGAAAAGATGTCCGTCTTGGGGACTGGAAAGCAGCTGATATTGAGATTTTGAACACTTTCCAATTGCTTTCTGCAAAGCCCGTTGTTTATCTCGTGAGTCATCTTGAATGTTTCCTCTCTTTTTGTAATATTTTTCTCTACCAGGATAGACTCTCTTGCTTCTTTGATATCTATGGTCGACAATTTTCTCTTAGAAGAAATGCTGTCATCAGCTTGCAAATTGTAGAGGCATGCTGTATATCTTCTGTTACACTGCTGCGTCGCAACTCGCAAACTTAACCATAATGTGTTCTTTAGTTTTTCTGACCTCTTTGCTTTACATGTTTGTTTCAACGAAAGATTAATCTTTGCATACGAATTATAAAGGCATGTTGTTTAGACGTTTTCTGTTCACTTATTGCTCTCAAATTTTAAATTACAGATTAACATGAATGAGAGAGACTACCAGAGGAAGAAAAACAAGTTCTTGCCCAAGATTCATGCTTGGTACTTGCTAATATCCCTTCACAAACTATGTTGAATCATATGTTAACATTTTCCCCCTCTCTTGCTGTAAAATTATCTTCTTTACTTCCTTTATCATACTTCTCCGAAACCAAATATGTAAGTGTCATCGTTGTGTAGGGTTCAAGAACACGGAGGTGATACTATGATTCCTTTTAGTGGTGTTTTTGAAAGGAGTCTCGCTGATATGCTTCCAGACGAAGCAGCAAAGTATTGTGAGGAGAACAAACTGCAAAGGTTAGTAATAAAAGAACGGCATAGGCCCTTTTCAATTGAATAGAGTGAATCTAATGGCCATTGCTGCTTTGGCAGTGCTCTTCCGAGGATCATAAAAACTGGATTTTCAGCCATTAACCTCATATATTTCTTTACAGTTGGGCATGGTGAGGTATTACAATCCCACTTTCCTAGTAATTCACTTGACTACACAATACACTGGCTGTAGTCTCTATTTCTTCTAGATGTTGTTCTTTTTTTTTTTTTTTTTTTGGGGCAAATCTCTTAGATGTTGTTCTAAGCATTATTTTTCTGTAGTAAGTTATTGGATAGTGTATGCTCAGTATAAAGTCAAGTAGGTGCATCTGCTGGAATTTGATACATCAATGATATTATTCTTTTCAGGTGAGGTGCTGGCAAATACGACGGCAGTCAAAGGCTCCTCAAGCTGCAGGGGCCATTCATAGTGACTTTGAGAGAGGATTTATTTGTGCCGAGGTCACCCTCTTCACATTCTCTTGAATCTTTTCATCTCAGTAGTTTTTCACAACCTAGAATTTACCTGTGCCAAAGCCTTTTTCCCTCCTAGAGTTTATGAATTTTTTTCCTGTTAAAGTGTTTCCATAATCTCTCATTCAGCTTGTTGATTTTCTATTTAATGATTTGGATAGGCGCAGGCTTGTAGATATCCAAGTAGAATCCTAACGCAAACCATATATAAATTAATCAGTTTCAAAAACAAATTTATTGTTTACCTTGGTTGAATGCTTGTCCATATTATCACAGGTTATGAAGTTTGAGGATATCAAGGAATTTGGCAATGAAACTGCCGTCAAGGTACTTATCAAATCCATTTCCTCTCATTGCTTTTAAGGTTTCTGGAGTAGTAGCCTCTAACCACAGACATGGAGTATATTCTTGTTGAAGATGCGGCATGGTTAAAAAATTAGTCACATGCTGATGAAAATCTCTATGATTCACGGATTTGACAGTTTTGAGTCTAACTTCAATCAATCCTGTGTAAACAACTAACGCAGGGCGCAGGAAAATACAGACAGGAAGGGAAAACATATATTGTTCAGGATGGAGATATTATTTTCTTCAAGTTCAATGTTTCCGGTGGTGGCAAGAAATGAGATCTATCCGTTCAATGTTTCGGGATGGAGATATCATTTTCTATCCGTGAATCCTCCCAAGGATCTTGAAGCTTCATACAGTTCTGAGAGAGGAACCAAACTGTATTTTCTGTTTTTGACAGTTGCAGTTTTTTTTTTTATTTGGCTTACCAAAAACACAAACGTATCTTCAACTCTTGTCCCTTTTTGCAGCTTCCTTGAGACAGGGCTTTTAAGCCTACTGTTTGTAGAACTATTTCAACACTATTTTGAAACCTGAAGTGATTGTGAGTAAGGTATTTGACATAGAACAAGTTTCTTCTAATGCAAATGGAATGCCCTGTTGAAGAATCTTCAATGCACAAACCATACTACTAAGCATGCATCTTTCTAGCGCACGCATCTTAGCGAAGGAAGCAGAAACAAATACCTTAAAAATCAAATCATATTTGCAAGTGCCATAACATTACAAGCTCCATTGCTAAGAGCTTCTGGATAGATCATAATCAATAAAAACAAAAGAACAAAAGAATTATTGTGAGGATAGTCAAATCCATTGCTTTCTCTACACCATGTTGTGAAGAGTTGATCATGTTTGGCTCTTCTCCGCTTCTGAGGAATCTTGATTAGAACAAGCTTGAAGAGAGCTCTCTGGCGCTTCTTCTAACGCTTGGCTGCTAGAAAACGAATTTTCCCCATTCTGTTTGCGTAGCCAAGCTTCATGAAGCTGCAAAACATACTCCAAATGCCATAAAACTTCTCCCATCATTGGCCTGTTCTTCCCTTCATCCGCTAAGCACTTCTCCGCTATCTCACCATACTTCTCCAAAGACTCAGGACTATAGTTCCCCCTCAGATTTGGGTCAATAATCGACTCCAGAGATCTCTGCTTTTGCCAGCTTAAAGCCCATTCCGCAAGGTTGATCTGGTCTTTAGGCAAAGTCGGGTTTATAACAGCTCGAGCACAAACAGCTTCAAACAACACAACACCAAAAGAGTAAACATCTGACTTCTCTGTCAACTGTTGCCTCCTGAAGTACTCAGGATCAAGATAACCAAAACTCCCTTTCACAGCTGTACTGACATGAGTGTGGTCCATTGAAGGTCCAGCTTTAGACAACCCAAAATCAGACATCTTCGCCACAAAGTTCTCGTCTAGTAATATGTTTGTTGTCTTGACATCTCTATGAATGATTCCTCTCTCAGAGCCTGTGTGAAGGTAATGCAATCCCCTTGCAGAGCCTATACAAGCTTCAAGCCGTTGCTTCCATGATAAAGGAGGAAGGTTGCTTCCAAACAGATGACTCCTCAGAGTCCCATTAGCCATGTACTCATAAACCAAGATCATCTCGTTATGCTCATCACAGAACCCAATCAAAGACACGAGATGCCTATGCCTGAGCCTTGAGAGCATCACAATCTCTGTTTCGAATTCAGCAAGCCCTTGCTGAGAATGTGGGGTTGCTCTTTTGATAGCTATGACTGTTCCATCTTCAAGCTCTCCTCTGTACACTTTACCAAAACCTCCAACTCCAATAGCTAAACCATCATCAAAGTTCTTGGTAGCTGCACGAATCTCAGCTAATGTGAACTTCCTACCCATTGTAGATGCTGCAAGAGTGTTCAGTCTCAGCGAGCCACCCGTTGGTTTAGCGTTTGTAGTACTGTTATTGACATGCAAGAACAACGGACGCCAGCCAGGAGGATTGTTTTTGGAGTCTTCATCTGATTTGTTTCTCCTCATCTTGCACAAACACACAACCATCGTTACCAAGAACGCGAAAAGAATGATAGTTGCTACACCAGCACCAACACTGATCCAAATAATCCTCATCTTGGAGTTATCAACCGAGTGACCAGACGAATCAAACCTCATGAGATGAGCAAGATTCCCGTTTTTGCTTAGCTTGAAAATCTCAAGACCACTGAGAAGAGCATCAGTCCCTGAAGCACCAGCTGATGTGTCAGGTCCAAGTTGAATCCAGAGAATGTCGTTCTTGGAGGAGACAGGATCGAAGTAATCTTGATAAATAGCTTTGTTCTTCCCACCAGCGTGAGCATATATATCGAAGTTACCAGCAGCCGTCTGGTTGTTGATGTATATCCTGAATATCCTCTGGTTTTGCTTATCAACAACCAGCTCGCAGAAATGAAGCCTAACCAGGTAATCAAAGTTTGGATCCACTTCAAACTTCCAAGAGATGTTGAACCTTTTCTCCAAGACTTCAGTGTTTGACATGGTCCTAGCAGATTCATAAACACGTAGAGGAGCCACAGGTGACTCATTAGCCGAAGCATATGTGATACTAGAACTGTTCTTAACCTCCTCGCCGGCGTTTTCAATCACCATGTAGCTTGAATCTGTTTCCCATGTTCTATACAGCTTAAGATCTTGGCTTGGACCTAGCTTGGGACCACCAACGTTCAGCCTATACATAGTCTCGACCCCACGTCCTCCCAAACCAAGCTCCACTTCACTTCCACCAACTTTGGTAACTGATTCTTTGAAGAGCTTATCATCAACAGCAACAATCTCAATAGCATTGACAAACCCGAAAGATTCTTTCTCAGGGATGAAACTCAGAACAAGTTTCTCTATGGGTAACAGAAACTCTTTAACTAGAGAAGAGGCAGTAGCATTGTGACCAGAGCTTAGCAAAATGAGGTTCTTATGCGCGATTTCTCCCTGGATGTTGATGTCAAACATCAGTCTCAGACCATTCGCATACACACTGAAAGAAGACTCATTCACATTGTGGTCTCCCATGGGGAAAGGGCTGAAGTGGAGTCTCACAAAATAGCTTCCTTGAGGTATCTCGTGGAATGAGTAGTTTAACGTTGTTGTGAAAACACGAGCAGACTTGTAAATCTCAGCAAAGGCAGAACTCTTTATCGGTGTCGATGAAAAGGCATCAAGTCCTGATGAACTAAGTGACAAACTGTTGTTGGGAGACAAATCTCCAACCCATATCCTTCCATCTGCTTTGGTTGAAGTGTTTGAGCCACAATCAACAAGGAAACTCTTGGACTGAGCTTCTCCATAGCCAACAGCATAAGTGAAGATTATCAACATACATAGCATAAACTTCTTCCTCTGCTTCGACATAGCAACTCAAAGAGCGCTAGAATCACACAGTAATAATGATAACTGCTACAAAGGGACAATGCTCAGCTACAGAAACTCAAAACTCTTATCTAATCTCCCTCCAGGAAACAGAGATTTCCCCAGATTTGTGTTGTTTGGTTTCTACTCTTTCTCAGTTGATTAGCCTCCACAAGAGAGTTTCAGAGAACATTTGTGCAGAAATGAACAGCCTTTTTAGCTAATAAATGCTGAACATTCCTTTTCAAGAAAGCAATGCAAAGCTAACAAAACAAACTAGAGATCCCAACTTTTTCAGTATATAATCCAATAAGCTGCTAGATCTGAAATACAAGACAGAAGAGAGAGCCCACAAGAGGTACAAAGACAAAAAGTAGGATTCTTTCAGTAGGAAGAAAAAAAAGAGAAACCAAAGTGGAGATGGAACCAAGAAGAACAAAGATCTGGGTTTCAACAAAAGAGGAAAACTTTGGTGAGGAGAAAGAAACAGAGAAGTTGATAGGGTTATCTGGAGAAGAAAGAAACTATGGAACATGGGTTGTTTGCTGAAACAGATGGGAAGAAAGAATAATAAAACCTTTTCTTTGAGTATTTGTTTTTTTCAGTTTTTTTTTTTTTTTAAAGTAATTCTTTCTGTACTTTATGTTATAAAATTAAAATCTTTGTTTGCTGCTTGTTTGTTCTCTTCTTCACCGGGAAGTCAAGTACGCATCACCTTCAATCCCTTTTCCTGTCACTTTGAAATTGATAGCACTCATCTCATTATTACTAATAATTAAAGATAAAATCCATATTTATCTTAGCGTGTTTCGCATATGTAAAGCAATTCTATAAAGTATATGGTTCTTGATTACTAAACAAAGGACCATCATTATATTGGCTGTCAGAATAATAACAACTAGATTTTGTCCCGCGCAACCGCGCGGGTGTTTGTTTTCGTTTATAGTTAGTTATATAAACATTTTGTTTTCACTTGTAAATTGGTATATATTATAGTAATCACATATTTACGATATGTATAGTAAATATTTTTCAAACATAATAATATTATATAATAAGTGTTTTAATCAAACAGACTGTTTCAAATTTTCTATATTATACATGTTTTTCAAACATGTGTTTGTTTCTTCTTCTATATTTTATTGTTTGTTAGATTAGTATTTCATTTTTAGATAAAGTAATATAAATAGAGCTTAATTAAATATTAGTATACTTTAATTTGCAAAGATAATATAAACTTCGAAGAAATTTTTACTAAAAACTAAACTTATAGCTTCGTAAATTAATATTATAAAGAATTTTATTAAAAAGAATTTTTTAAAGAATTTCTTTTTTTTTTTAAAACAATATAATTTTAAAAATTTACATCGAAATAAATTTATCTAATATATATAGCGTGTAAATTTTGTTAGGGTATATAAATATTCTATATTACTAATCTGTGATTTTTGTTAAATTATTGTGGATGCATTTAACTATTATTGACATATTTCCTTATAAATAATAGAAGATTTCTAAATTTATATCTATTGACATATTTTGCGTGACTAAGTTGGAAAGTGTGGGATAATTTACCAAAATCAAATTGTGAAGCGTATATTTATTATTATAGATATGGTTTTTCATAAGATATAATAATAATAAGATTATTAGAGAGTTAATGTAACATAACTTTCTAGTAATAGTCCATTTTTTTAAAAACCACACATGAAGTCAAGTCATGATTTCTGTTTTAATATATAAGATTACGTTTTTTTTTTTTTTGTTTCTTGGACAATTCCATAGTATAATTCTATGAAGCAAAACTGAGAATAAATTGAAAACGATTCTTAGAAAATTGATTTTTGCTTTTGAAATAATAAAAATTGGAGAAAGAGAGAAAGGATAAAAGATAAAAGATAAAAGAGCGGTGGCAATAATAGGGGAGTGGGTGGTCACATGCACCTGTCCGGTAGATCATCAGCATTCATTAATAGCTCTTATTCCTTGCTGAAAATTCCAGTAATACCCTTTCGTCAACATAAGCTTGTGTCGACACATGTCAAGGTTTTTCTCGTCTTTTCGATGTTTACTTGGTCCGTACCGTCCCTCGAAGTACTTACTAGGGGAAAAAAACATTTGTTCACATTTCATATTCATTAATTTCACAGATCTGTTTATTTTTTAATTTTATCCTATACTAGCATTTAGCTTCACTTCCAAAATTGAATAACTCTATAATGTAACCGTTTCCTTTTA